TGGACTGAATTCACACTATTTCTGGCAGTCTGCAACCCCCCTAAATGACTGACAAGGGAGGTTTCTAATTTTTCAGATGGGAAACTGAACTATTATAAATATCAGTCAACTTCCCCTCAGGATACAAAAATGAGTCACTTGCAGAACCAGAATAAGAACAAAGCCAGAAAGGACCTCAACCTGATCTGCAAGACTAGCAAATAGATCAACTGTTATATTTTTTTTTTTGCATACAAAGTTTTTAAAAGTACACACCATAAGCAGAAAAGATTAAAAAACAAATGCCTCCTCTGTCTTAAACAGAGTATTATTCTACAAGGGGAGGTTCCAACTACTAAGAATAATGTTAATTTTGTTAAATAATAAAAGTATTAACTAAGAGTTTGAGCAGAATCCAATCCAGGAGTGCCAGCCATGAAAATCTGCTCATACAAGTTCCTGCTAGAGGAAGGTGGGAGATATTTGCCAGTACACCTTGGTCCTCCACATTGGTGAGCTAGTGATTTAGGGACTTCATGAAATTTAATAACTTCAAACATGGTGCTGACAGATTATATTGCTACCCCTAAAAAATTGAAAGGAAGAAGTTGGTAGCATGAGCTTTTGTTGACTTGCGTTTAAAACATGCATCTAAGGAAGAAGGCTGAAGTCTAAGAAAGCTCATGCTACCAACTTCTTTCTTTCAGTTAATCTCAAAGATGCTACAAGATCCCACTGCATACTGATTTCTCAGACTAACACGGCTATGTCTTTGAATTCTATGATCTTGGAAAAGTTAGTTTTTGGATTTTGACTCCCAGAATCTGTAAACTATATAGTTAAAAAAATAATAATTCCAAGCTGATTGGACAGCTCTCTTTATTAAAAAAAAATAGTACTCAGATTCATGAAGGTAATTCTATCAATGGCATTAGCCCTGATAATTTGGAGAACCTTCACATTCTCCAGAGGAGTAATAGTTCTAAATCTTCGAAAGTAACTTTTTTAAAATAACTTAATTCCTGGCAGTTTTTTCATTCACTGATGGTACTTGTTCCAATGTTTGTTTGATTATTTGCAATATTTATATATACCAGAAGTTTCTTTATACTAATAAAATTGAACAGGTAGATTCCCTTACTTCTGTTGAGCTAGTATTTTCATCCACTGCTTCCTGGCCATTGCAGACCAGGAGAAACATGTGAAAAGCAGTATCTATACCCTGCCCTATATAATAAGATTTCAAGGTGGCACACAATTGCATTGTTTGTTGCATCACACATTGGATATTGATTATCTTTCATTATTATTATTATTATTGAGGGCAGATCCATAAGAAAATGGCCTAAAAGTTGAATAACAGAATGGTATGAAGTTGAGAGCCGGTGTGTTATAATGGATTGAGTGCAGGATAAGGACTCCAAGAGACCAAAGCCATGGAAAGCCACTGACCTTGGGCAAGTCACACACACTCTCAGCTTAAGAGGAAGGCGATGGTAAGCCTTCTCTGAAAATCTCTTGCCAAGGAAATTCTAGTTTTATAGTAAGATATGTTTTTTCATATATGTTTTAACTCATTCTGATTTAATAATTTTTAAGGGGGGGAGGGGGGAAATACTTCTTAATTTGTGATATGATGATTTTATTGTAAGCCGCCCCGATTGCGCTCAGAGGTGCGGGATATTAAATAAAAATTATTATTATTATTATTATTATTATTATTATTATTATTATTATTATTATTAGGACTGGGTCACCATAAGTCAGAGTTGACTTGAAGGCACGTAACAGCAACAATATAAAAACTGAAAATTTGAAGTGTTCTCACCAAAGTGTATCTAAAAATGTTTGCATTCTTCCATTTCTTTTGAAATGTCACTTCATTGTGATTTCATCAACAAAAAAAGTAACTACATTGGAAGTAACTTTGTTACTCTGAGCACAGCGCTGAATGCCAGATGATGAGGACAAGCAAAAGGAAAGAAATCTTGTCTTCTTAAATACATTAATGCTTAGCTTATAAGCATCCCCACTGTTGAAATGCCACTGAACTAGATGGAAATGTCATTCAATTTGGCAGGACTCAAATTCTGCAAAAGCTGCTGCAGTCATTGTGAATCACCAGGAGAGATAGAAAACAGCCCAAAAAAATTACAGTTCAAGTTTGCCCTCATATGGGTACAATATGCCCTTTCTATAAGCATTTAGAGCAAGTGTGATGACTAAGAAAGGGGGGACTACAGAAGCACAATATTTACACAGAGGAAGCCCTCCAACTCCAAAATGAGCACACGCACAAAGCTGTGTTTACTTTTAAACCAGTTAATTTGTTCCAGCCTGTCTAGTTTGTTAAAACTTGCTGAATATCTTCCATTCAGAAAGAGGGGCAAGTTTAAATGGGGGATGTTTAAGCAATCATTTTCACACACAATAAGATCACTGTCTTGACATGTCCAAGATGGTATAGTCAAATGTGGAGCCTGCAGGTCTGGAATTCCCCCTTGCACCATTAATCACTTTGTGAAGCAGCATCAGGAATCATGCAAGCTTCCAGATGTTCTGGAACTACAACTTCCAACATCCCCCACCATTGCCTATGCTGGCTAGGACTGTTGGGAGTTGAAGTCCAACAACACTTGGGAGGGCCACACAATCCCCACACCCTGCATTACATCAAGGAAGTCATCTCAACCTTTCCATCATATCCCCACAAAATCCATACACCTTCTCTATATGTTCTGTAGAGAGAAGCCAGATCTCTATAAGTAGCATAATACAAAATGGCACCTCCTCCATATGTCACATAGAGATGGACTGATGGGTAAAACTAGGGTTGCCAGAGTGAAAACTGGAGAGGGCCCCTGTACTTTTAATGGCTGTGCTGAAGAGGGAATTTCAGCAGGTGTTGCATGATACCTGGTTGTCTGACAAGCTACACCTGTTGCAATTCCCTCTTAGCACAATCTTCAAGGATACAGGAATCTCTCTCCAGTTTCCACTCTGGCAACCCTAGGTGAAATTTACTTCAAAGAAAATGAGAGATGTACTCCGGTGTTGCGGACAAGACATTAAGCTGTGTTGTTAAAAGGGCTTTTATTTAATCCTGCTGATGCATTTCAGGAAGACCCTTCATCAAGAGCTGATTCTTCTGT